TTAAAGAGAATAATTTTAAATGAAGATGATTATATTGAAGAGTTCTCTAATCAAGTAAGATTTCTTTCCATAAGTTGATTTTAATTTGTTAAAAAAATTTTCTGCTTAAATTCTCCAAAATAATTTTTTTTTGGTTCAAGTTTTCTCCTCTTAAATCAATTTATTTTTATATTAGTGTAGTACTTCAAATGACTTCTATCTATTATTAATTATCATTTAAGATTTCACGTCATTGTGCTCCAAGGACTAATATATCTATAGATTTATTCATCTTTAAAGCATCTATTATATCGACTTCAATGCTCAATCGCTCCCTCAATATAAATCTTATATTATAGACGTTAATTATATTATGATGAGAGTGATAATACAAACGTTAGTAGAAAAAAATTTCTTATTTTATAAAGAAGCACTTATTTGAATCGCAAATCCTCTTAGTTAATAATAATAACGAGTATTAATAAATAAACTTTTTTTTACAAGACGACGTTTAAAAGATGGCGTATGACATTGTCATTTACAGTTGATTAAAAGTTTTTTAACTGAACAAAAAAAAAACAGCAAAAAAAGGATAAATGTTACTATATAATTTCTCCCATTACCATAGAATTACTTTTTTTTATGCTTATAAAATTCTTGAATAAGGATCGGAAATACGTAATATGCGAGCGTAGGTCCATGGACCCACGCGTGTTCTATTGTTTCATTTTAAAACAATGAGTTACTTATAATAAGTTTATATACATTCATTATTTCTCGTCACCTATTATATTTTTTGCTATTTTTAGTTATATATTTTCCATTAAACTGGAGTAGAAAGTTTCAATATAACAGCAAGCTTTATTATAAGCAAAGATATTTTTAAATTTATTTTTGAGTTATAAATTATAATAAATAAAAAAAACAGAACTTTTAAACTAATGTCAGAGTCCAACTATCAAACATCAATAATTTCACAATAATAAATTAATTTATTTAAACATTTTCCAAGAGATATCTTCTATACAAAAAATTATTAATACAATACTTGTCCTTGATATTAGATGATTTTTAATTAATTATTTATAAAAATTATTCGAATTTTTAATTTTCAAGGATTGACCTCAATACATATTTTCATCAAGTGAAAGATATTTAATTCAATTTTTCTCATATACTTATTATATTATATATCCACATGCATTGTACATAGAAAACTTTTTTTGAGTTAAAAATTTTAGAAGATTAATATTGATTTATTTTTCTTTGTGATACAATTTGCGGCAGTAGCATACAATCTCTTTGTATATAACAATATCGTGAATCGTAGTGAGAACATTATTTATACTATTATACTTAATATGCATATAACTATAGAACCAAAGTAAAGGCGTTGACACAAACTGACGTAATTGTAAACTAACGGCTCATAGGTATTGGTGTACACGGGACACAACACTGGGTAACTATCCGTCGAGGATGCAAAATCCAATGGTAATAAATATTACTTATGATTTTATAGTGGTGCTATATACATTTATAATAAAGCAGACAACGTGAATATTATCAAGATAAATTATCATAACTCATAACTGATGATTATACACACGTTGGGATGAATGTCAGTGGCCAAAATTTATTCAAAGTTCTTTTAATAACCATTGTGTCGGACAAATATTTCAGGTCGTATATTAACTTGAGTAAAAATTTTTATAATTTTTAAATTAAAAGACATTTGATAATTTTTTTTAACGAACAAATTGTTTTTAGAAATTTTTTATTAAAAATTCTATTAAAAATTAAGAAAAACAAACTGGTGAATGCAAATTATTTCTAATACTTTCTCAGTACAAATTTATTTTTTAAATAATTCAAAAGATATCTGCTGACTTGAGGATCATAAATTTTGATTTTTTGAGGATTATCAGATGTACTTAAATTTTGAGAGATATTTTTTATTCAACTTCACTGCTTCTCTAATAAGCATTCACGAAAAAAGTTTCATGTTACGAAGTTTACTTAACTACAAGGTTAGTAGTAAGTTTATAATGAAAAAAGTTCCACCACAGTAAAGAGTGTTTTTTTCTTTAAACCTTTTTTGCCGTAGTAGTTTCCATACACTAATACAGTCATATAAATACGTATAGAAATTTTTCACAAGCTGTGTTTCACGTCTGTTTTAAATAGACAACAAAAAATTATTAAGACAAATTTTATCCGTTAATCCCTTGATTAAACTTTCGTTTCAATAACATAGTTTAGTCACGATAAAAATGATACGCATCCACTACAAAATGATATCACGAAAACTTGTGATTAAAAAAAAGATAAACTTTTAAACGCCTAAATGTGTTAAAAAAATTTACCCAAGAAAAAATTAATTATTCATCTGATAATTAATATATTTTCAAAACAAGTAAATAGTATTTTTAGATAAATATAATAGTAAAACTCAAAATCGTAAAAAGTAAATTTTTTTGTACAGATTAACTTTTTTTCATACAATAAACCGTCATTGTGTACTATAATTTAAATATTCTTCGTAAGTCATCTTATCATTTGGTTAAAATTAAAATTCCTCGGTAGCACTTTCAATCCCATCATTCATAAATCTGAAATAAAAATAAGTGTATCAATGAATAAACTTATGCTCATAATTAATCGCTTACTGATGTTCAAGCATCATTTATTGCTGTTTAATAAATTTTATCTTAATTTTTTCATATCACAATACATGAAATATATTTTTTTTAATAAAATATAGGAAGAAATTTCCTTTCGAAGTGCATTTTTGTTTAATTTGAAAAAATAGTGTATAGTTTTTAAAAATAGATTTTATAGTGGATGGCATAAAAAATGTAAAAATTTTATCAAACTCATCAATTTTTTCCAATATATTTGACACGCATATTGTATCAAAAACTTATTACCAATACAAAAGTTTCTATCAAACTTTTGCTTGATATAAAAAATATGAAAAAAAAATTAGTTCGGTATTGAAGAATTTATGTAATATAACAATGCTTTCATATGTGGATTAAATACATATATAATGTGTAATATTGTATGGAAAGAAACGGCCTTATATCCTACACTTGATCAAATATTTTCTTGAGTGTGGTTGTACGAGGTGTGCATGGCTCATGCAATGTTTGTCTACTATACAAGATACAAGAACAAGAAGTTAAAATAAAAGGGTGACCATGTGGTATAGCTAGCGTCTACTGGCAGTATTATATGATAGCTGAGAAGAAGCTCAGTTTAAATTTATGATTCGCAAGAGAATATTGCAATGCTTCTTTTTCTTTAAACTTATTTTTGTTTTGTCAGTTTTCTCTTTGACACCACAAAGATTCTAGTGTATATCTTATCAATTCCAGTGGCTTATTCACAATTAATAACTCTCTGCTTATTCATTTATTAAGAATCAAATAAAACCTCTATTGATAAATATTCAGCATTTCTATTTTTAAATGTATGTGTTATATAGTTCATTGATCTTTCGAAATTCAAAGCTCAAAAAGACTTCTCTCGTGTATCGATGTTTCTTGAATTTTTAATTACAATTAACAATTTACAAAGAACCATATGAGTAATTCAAAAGTTACGCATGTACTCTTCAGCTATACTATACTGTGTGGGAGTATATGTTTGGTAAAGGTGTCTGGCTTTAACGTTTACTTAACAAACAGTTTTTGTTTCTCATTCTCGCTTTATAATTTAGTTCTTCTACGCTCATTCATGAACAAATTTCTGCCGTACAATTTATAAATAATTTATAATTTTAAATATTTTTTTGTACTTAAAAAAAAAGTAAATTTTTTTTAATTTACAGAAATTTGATTTTACAACATAAAAATTTGTATTGAACAAAAGATTTAAAAAAAATGGATAATGTATAAATAAAATTTTTGATTTTCAACGGAAGTGACATTTTAGTAGCCTTCCGATTTACCATTTTGACAAGGGTACTACTATACAGTACATAAAGATTTCAATAAAAAGATATCAATGATTCGTACATACATATATCTGGCAACGTCATCTTTGCGACTTTTTATCGCGCTTGAATTTCTTCCTTTTTTATCGTATTGAAAATCCACTGCAAGCCAATGTTGGGTATCCAAAAGAACGCTGAATGAATTTATAATGCACGGGAGTGGCCAGTAGTAGTTTTATATATATAATACATATACAAACGTATTAGTATATAAACATACTTTATATATGTCTAGTTACTTGCGCACATGATATTATCCATCATGGAAGAAAAGAATATCATGATTTCCCACTGCCACAAAGAGTTTTCTGAATAGAAGATTATGACAAGTATTAATTATAATTATTTTTATTGTGCAATAAACTTGGAAAAAAAAAATACTACATGTATTAGGGAACGCTCAAAACTTACAAAAAAATTCCCGAATTGTTAAAAATTTGGTTTTTTAAAAATCATTTTTCTTATTTTATTATATTAATTCTCTTGTTGAAAATTATATGTCAGATACATATAGCTCTTTAAATGGAATGCAATAATTTGTAACAATTTTAAAATAATTGAAAAAATAAAAGATTTTAAAATAATCGATTTGGTATTAGATGCCGAATAAATATTTATCCATTAAAATACAGAAATAATAATTCTGTCCTTCATTTTAGTCACGTGTTTTATGTCTTTTCTTTAGTATGTCAATTTAAAGGTAAAAAATTTTAATTATCTGATATTCATGTTTACAAGTCACTTGAAAACATTTTAAGTGTACACATAATGCAAACATAATATTTAATTGAAATTTTTAGAATCTGTTTTAGTTTTTAGCATAAAAAATGGTCGAGTAAAAAGGATTAAAAATAAAAAAAATTCAATTTTTGAAATTCTGGAAATTGAAAAAAAAATTTTTATTCGAGCTCTTAAAACATGATTAATTAAAATATTTCTATAGTAGATTAAAAAAAAAAAACATTGGTAAATTTTTGAGCCACTCTAATATGTAATTTCAAATTTTTGTGAATATAAATTCTTAGAATATTACTTGAATACTTTGGCGAAGAAGCTTTGACGTTCCAATCCAGATAATTGGAGAGATGATTGATGATGATTTGGCGAGGTAGTAACAGAAGTTTTTGGTGAATAATGAACAGCAAAATGATGATGTATGATAGAGTATCGTAAATATTCGATCAGGAACGAGTGTTACATAAAGCCCAATAATAATTCCAACTTTAAGAAAAAAAAAAACAGTGACAACTAATTTTTGACATAGTCATTCAAGTAAATTCTCTTTCAATATACTTTACCTAGTAATCGAAGACTGTCAGATTGCTCGGTTCTCCACATGCTTTTAGGGATAGGTTTATTTTCTTTAAGCTGCACGATAATAATTACAATCAACAAAGTAATTATCGAAGTTGTTGTTATTAAGTACATAGTAGTTGTGAATACGGAGAGAATGATTCCAGTGTGTTTGACATAATGATCGTAAAGATGAAGCTCCATTATTGTTGTAATTGAACAAAATGACCATATTATAACGACACTTTTAGCAGCTGTTGATGCTTTTAATAATATTTTATGCCACACTGTCTCTTTGCAGCAAAATGCTATGTAGCGATCGACAGTCAACAGGGTTACTGTACAAACAGTGCTACGAAAAGTCACTTGATTAATGTAATCAGGGTCAGTTTTAAACTTTAAGTTACACCAATATACAACAATATTTCTCAAGAGATCCAAAATGTTTACGAAATTAGAAAGTATTAAACTTAAGATGTAACAACCAACTGATGTATACAATAACTTACGCATGAATATTGAGACGAGTATGACTGTATTCATTGATATAGCAACAATAACAATTGATAAATCAACTATTTTTTGTACGGTACTATCCAATTCAGCAGAAAATGTGAACACGTGTTGGTGTGAGAATGATGGTACCGCTGCTTCTTCATTATATTCTTCACCCAACTCTGCTTGTATATAATCATTAAATAAATTTTTATACACCATGATTAGATGTGAACAGCTCCACGGTATTTTGAATACTGAAGTTTATTTAATAATATTTTATATAAAAAAAATATAAGAAATTCCCGAGCGATTTTAGATAAGATTCTGCTCCCTGAGCTTTCGTGACATGATCGCATTACATCAAGAGATACACGCGACTGTTTAATTTACTTAAGTGATAAAAAAAATAGTTAAAAAATTAATTAAATACTTTTTGTGTAAATAAATTCAATTTTTATTGCATATCCTTTTTAGGAAAATAAATTTAATAATTTATCACAGGAATGTAAAAAAAAAAAAATTAAATGAAATTTGAAAATTTTACGTAGGTTTTCAATTTTAAATTTACAAATATAGAAAATTCACCGCATGGTAAAGGTGACCGGTTTTTTTTTTTTTTTTTTTTTTTTTTTTTTTTTAAGATCAGTATTATATATGATGCATCGCAGCGTAATCTCTATAAATCTTAAGTTATCCCAGACGTAATTGGAAGGTGAATGTATCTATAAATTCCAATATGGATAATGTGTCATAAAGAAGTTGTAATAAAAAACCATGTCCACCTTCGATGTTGGAACTTTTAATAGTAACGCCCTTTTTTTCTAATCTACACATAAAAATGAGAAAGTTTAAAAAAAGTCAATCTTCTCTGACATTAAATAAAGTTCTCTTAATCTGTAATTGAAAAATATAAAAAAATACATATATTGAGTTTTTTTTTTCTTTGCTAATCTCGGTGAAATAATGGCTTATCCTTGGTATAATTCGTCACACCTCTGGAGAGTAATCATACACGCGTTTCTCTTGCTACTGTATGAGTTGCTGGTAATAACTTAATTTTACTTATTGAGCGTAATTTTTTAAAAATCTTATTTTTGTTCCCTCAACTGTTAAGTTTTATTTAATATATAAAAATTTTTTTCTAATAAATTATAAGTTAAATAATAAAAGTTCCAAGATCTAAACATTATTTGTTATTTCATTGAGATTATATGTGTAATTTACATATCGCACTTTTAAACAAATTGTACATAATTTTAGTTATTTACATTTCATTTAACACTGCGTAGTTTTTGTATATATATAAAAAATTATCATCGTGTCGTGCCTTGAGGCTACACTAAAGTTGTCTTCTATCTTCGCTATAAGAGCCCTGCTTCGCATTCGAGAGGTTTCGTGCGTCCAGCCGGTAGAACGGGTTTTGAAAATAATATTTTTTATATTTTTTGTGTGTTTCCTTGTTTCATCCACCTGGACCACTAAACTGACTCGAGGAACCGTGCAAAATTTAATATTCTGCAGGTGTGCATTTGTTATATGTACCGCAAAAATTCTTACATTCTTCTATCATATAATACTGCGTATTTGTAATACACTCAATGATAAATACTATCCACTTATTTTTTAAAAATAAAAACAACGTATTACAAAAACAAAAAAAAAATAAATTAATTGAATAACTAAAAAGTATTAAAGAAATAATGTCTGCAGTTTACATCTATTTCTGTAATAATTTATCCCAAAATACTTTACATATATTTTATTCTCTTTTAACGCTTTGGCAACTCTCCCAAGCTATTTCAGTCTATTTTCATGTTCAACTCGAGGGGTAACAATCAAACTATATGACCCAGCCTTGACATGATTGTGCAAGTCATTCAAAATTTACAGAATCACATTTTCCTCCACATCAATAAATTCATCAATAATACAAACAGTTAATTAATTAAATCGATTTTATTCAATAAAATATCATGAATCATGAAATTCCTCACCTAATTAATTATCTAAATCAATACAGTAGATTCCAAATATTAATGATAGATTTTATTAAATTTATATCTTTCTAAGAATTCAAAATAAATTATAATAATTATTTCTTAATTGATAGTCAGATAAATGGAATTTAGATCAATGACAGTTTTGAAAAATAAAAACATGTTAGATTTGATTGATTTTCATGTTTTTAATTTTTCACCGAATCTTGTTAGTTTGTCGCTTCTGAAAATAAAGCACCGGATTCACCTGTACTTAACTGTAATTATTGATGTCTTGGTGGTTTTTTAACATAGTGATTTGTTTGGAAGCACCAAAACTCAAATCTACAGAAATAACCACTCAACCTTATATTATATATGTATACATGAATACATATACACATATACATATGTATGTTAAGACCAGTCCTGTCTGTTTTTCAGACGCAGGTGGGGTGCCATGATTGCAGAGCCAAAGTAATTTTAAAAGGGTTCCCATTTAATTGGCCACCTTGTGACTTAAAGCTTCGGGCTCGGTGGCCCGTTCTACGTTTATCTTATTATTATCTTTACCTTTACCTTTAGCTTTACGACACACGCTTTTACACTCTCGTATCCATTTGTATATACATATATCTTTTAAATATATATGGGTAAAATTTTTGACTAATAACCAAAACGATTTAGAAATATTGTTTTTTCTTAAATGAGATAATGAACTTAACTTATAAATTATAACTCAGGTTTTTTGAGTCATCAACATTTGTTATTAATGAGGAGATATTTTTAACTAACTCATGAATGTTTATGACTAGTTTCAATTCGTTTTGGTTTAATAACAGTCACCTTCGATTCGGTATATCAAGTGTGAGTTAAAATTGATCAGTGATTCGAAAAAAAACAATCTTCAAGGTTGATAAATTTAGTTTGTTATTTTTTCTATCGATTATAGACTTTTTTGTGGACTGAAGCAATATATTGTTTATTCTTTAATAAATATTCGCAATTTAATATGTACTTTTGTATATATATATAAGAATTTATATTTATAAAATTCAAAAAGCTTAAGAGCAAGTTACATTCCGATTGAATTGCTTCATGATACTGTGGAGCAGTTATTTATTCTTATCTGAAATGCTAAAAATGAGTAAATACCTTGGAGGCATTGTGATATAAATCAGGAGTATACAGAAAAGTTGCCGAGTTGAAATCTATCATACAGGTGTGCTAGTATTGTCATCTCCTTTCAGGTTTTAAGCTCCTGTAAAGCATGGAATATTACTGCGAATGCAGTAAGTCTAAAAAAAAGTATCTCTATGCATAAATAAAAAAAAAAAAAAGAGTTATTTGCTTGAAAAAAATTTGTCTGTCTCAACAAAATTGAGTTATTGGTTCCAGTAAATTCATGTTTTAATCCAATTTTTATCAATCGATCTAAGAGAACTTTTTTAACTGAAAATTTATTCATTTTTAACTTCCAGCTAAGAAAATTAATGATTTTCTTGAACCAAAAATTATTTATCTCAATTCAATTAATTCTCGAATCAAAAATTAAACATATTTCTCTTAAAAAATTTTGTGCAGTTGAAGATTTTTTCTTTTCTCCAGTCAGTTTTTCTTTTAGAGTAATACATTTTTGTCTGTCTCATATACAATATAGTTTATAAGCCTCAGATTTGTCGTCATAAGTCTGACTATATTATGGATCTCAGCATGAAAGTTTAAAGTTATTTTTTCTATTCCAATAATAGCCATATACTATCTTTATAAATATTATATAGCTACGAGAAAATACTCCAACAGATAAAGAAAGGAAAACAATATTTATAAAATAAAACCAAGAGACCAGATTGAATTTTAGAAAAAGAGATGTGATAAAAAAAAAAAGAGAAAGGTCAAAGAAATGTAAATAGTTGAAATAAAAAAAAATCACTTTGCTCATGAATATTCATCTGCGAAGGTTTTACGTTTATGGTTTAAAGAAACGAATGAAAGACGAGGTGTCACATAATGAAAAATACACATCCAAGCTTTTTAATCGGCCGTGAAGGGAATCTTTCCACATCATTCGGTTCAGAGTACACCTCAATGGAATAAAAACACCAAGTTATTTTCCTGAACGTCATTAGCGAGAGAAATTTTTTTTTGTTTTCATCATCACAGAGGTATGCGCGGATGTAATGCATAACTCTGGAACAATTTGTTAAATTAATTTAAAGCGTTCTTTCTAATATAGACAAACGCACACACTCAATGAATTATACTGTAGTAGTGTATACACGATTTCATTGTCTTTATTGAGTTTTTTGAGCTTCAAGTATACACACAAACGACTTTTATTAAACTTTATTTTTTTATCATTTTTTCCTGTTTATTTCCCTGTACAGTGAACGAGGTCAGTTGAAATGTTAATAGTATGCTAGTAGAATAGAAAATAGGATTACCGTACTCTGATTTAACCATTAGATTTATCTACCTCTTTGCTTGACAAAGAAAGAATTCCGTTTGGTTGCTTGAGATCTGAGTCTGTTGCCTGACTCTGTCAGGGATGCACTACTCAAATTTGTTTCCTATATATTTCGCTTTAATTACTAACTGTTATTGTGCATCCCTAATGAGTAGTAACAAATTATGCTAAAAAATTTAATAACTAGTGTAGGAATTAAAAAAATTGTTTCGTAACAATAATTACAAACTCCAATTTTTTAATAATACAATAGCGCAAAAAAGTATTACACGACCTATAATACAAAACATTAGAGAGTACTTTATGATCAAAAAATTTATTTCGTTTCTTTTTTGAAACCATTTATATTGCTAAACTCTTGTAAGTTCACGAAACCAACATAATTTGTATTCTGTCTTAAGATAATTCATTGAAGATTGATTCTGTAATTTTCAAAAATTCATTTAGTGTCATAGAAATAAAAAGAAAACACCAAAATAAATGTTCGCAGTTTGATAACACGACTCAACACGACGGTTTTTTGTTTCACTTTATAAATCAGCAATATCATATTATTATTGAAATGTTTTATTATTAAAAAAAATTAAATGAGTCGTGCACTTTTGGATTTTTCAAACTTTTCGTATTACTGATTCTGAAGTAATGCCTGACTTAAATTAATGCAATTTGAAGTTATTGCACAAAAATTTATCATGAAAATAGTTTATGATTGATAGTACAAATATATAATATGATTGACGTGACAAAAATTAGATTGAATGTATTTTAAATCTCGT